TTATGTAAACAATAGTTAATTTTGAATAATTTCCAACGCAAAATAATTTATTAAAACTAAGTATATATTTAAAGTAGTTGTACAATATCAGATACAAATTGTATAAATGTAATTCTGTGATTGTGAGTAAAATAAAATAATGTAACAATATTTTTGATGAATATGTTGTTTAACTGAATAGAACAATAATAATATTAATTATTATTTAAATGTATATTTGAGCTTTACAAACAAAGTAAATAATTCATAATTAAATTCTTGGTGACGCACTTCACTGTGTTCATTTATACAAGACTTTTGAAAATTATATGCACGTTTAAAATCTTTGCAACCCTTAAAAGTAATTAAAGGAAAAGTAGACTTTTAAACAAAATAATCCAAACTGCTCCCTTATCCCCTCTTCATTCTAGTGAAACCCCTTTTATATTTACCTCAAATACACAAGCAACTTGGTCCAGACGTTGTGGCCTACAAGGCCATACAGTAATGAGTATGCCCAGTTGTTTTTCATTAGTTCTTAATGGAAAAGCTGTCTACTGTCATTCAAAACCGCGACGATTACACAAAAGAAATCCATAGATTACTGTTGGACACCACCACCTACCAGAAATAAAAAACTGACCCATTACCCCAATTCTTGAACGCCTTAAAACCCCTGATCGAGCAAGCGTTTGACGAAAAGATCATCACCAAAAAAGAGAAAGCAGTACTGTGCCCCCCACAACCCAAAACACCCTTTTTTACCACCTACCCAAGATTCACAAAAACTGCACCACACCCCCCGGGCGCCCCATCATTTCCAGCATTGACAGTCTCACCAGCAGCCTCTCCCGTTATGTGGACCATTTCCTACAGCCCACCGTCACCACCCTCCCTTCCTATCTGAGAGACTCTGGACACCTAATCGAAACACTATACACCTCCATCCCCCACGAAGTAGGACTCCAGGCCTTACAATATTACTTGCCCTAAGAACCAGAGCTCCATCACAAACAAACTCAATTCATCCTCAATTCCACCAAGTTTACCATTGAACACAATTATTTCACCTTCCTAGAGGAATTTTACCTCCAAATTCAAGGCACAGCCATGGGGGCCAATTATGCTCCCAGTTATGCCAACCTAACCATGGGCTTCTGGGAGGAATTCCACATCTGGCTCAATAATCCCTTCGCCCGACACCTGATTTTTTACGGACGCTACATTGATGACATCATCATCATTTGGGACGGTCCACTTGACACCATCAATGACTTTGTCAAGCACTGCAACACCAACCCCTCAGGACTCAGTTTCACTTTTTAGACCTCAAACTCAACCACCTCAATACCGAGATAATCACGAAAACACACTTCAAAACCACCGCCGGCAATTCTTATCTCCACTATAAAAGTTGTCACCACCCTCTCTGGAAGCGTAATGTCCCGAAAGGGCAATTCTGGAGGATTGACAAAAATTGCACAAACAAAAAGGATTAAATTCTACAAAGTCACGTGCTGAAAGACAAGTTTGTAGAAAAAGGTTACTCTAAGAACTTCATCAATAAGGCCCGTGACCACTTCATCACCAACACCCCAGCACTAAGAGACGAAAAAAACAAGCGCCAGTCCACCAACCCGATCCGATTCATCACCCCATTCAATAGCAGGCACAAGGCTATTGAAGCCATTCTCAAGAAAAACTGGCATCTATTACTTTGTGACCCTAGCTTGAGCCCTTTATTACCAACCAAACCCTCCGTAATCTTCAAAAAAAGCTTGGAGCATCAAAAACATAGTGGCCCCCAGTAAATTGTCCACTCACAAACCCGAACAAACACAGAGGTTCACATTCAACAATAGAATTGGTGTCCACAGATGCAAGAAACGACAATGTCTCACCTGTCAGTTTATCTCCCATGACTAGTCTTCTTTCCAAGACAGCTCCGGCACCAAATACCCCATTTCACAATTCATCACATGTGCCCACGACCACGTAATTTACGGCCTACAATGTTCCTGCAACTTCCTGTACATAGGACGCACCATTCAACCCCTCCACAAACGCATAGGAGAACACAGGATGTTCATTGAAAAGGGGTGCACTGAGCATAGCGTCCCACGCCACTTCCTCCTGAAACATCACAAAAGTTCTGAGCACCTAAAGGTTTTGGGGTTGAGCAGATCCCTGCCAAACTCCCCCCTTCAGAAAGATTCCACCTCCTGTGCAAACAGGAAACCTATTGGATCTATAAATTAAACACACTGTCCCCCCATGGCCTGAATTAAGAATTGGAAATTAATACCATCATCTGATTTACCAACCCCCCGGACTGTATTGGCCACCGCCAAACATTTTTAACCCAGCCCATCTATCCCACATTCTTTGTGGCTACTCTTCCGATTGAAGAATAGTCCATTTCCAGTCATTTTCCGTTCATGCCCCATCCTCAAGCTCCAACACATGCTTCTCCCCCATAATCAGAGTCATTCAACCCCAACACACACCGTTTTTACTGTATTTTATTTTATTTGTTTCTCCCTCACCCCACAAATCACTGATTTTTGCCCCACTTGCCCTCTCACCCCCCCATCCCCCACCGCCACTTATCCCCTCCACAGACTCATTGCAAAATATATTTTTCCTGGTTCACATACCCCCCCACAATGTTCTTAATGGCTCACATAATAGCCTCTTTCATATAATTTGTTTCCCCTTCCTCCACTTTGGCAATTCATATGTATTTTTCCACAGCTGCCGTCATTCACTTCATCGTTACTTCTCCCCGCCCCACATCCCCGCCCCCTTCAACTGCTCCACTCACTTCCACAAATTCAAAAACCGTCCTTTGCCCACCAACCGTCCCCTCACGTCTTGGCTTGAAAAAGAAGGCAAGCTCTTCGAAACGCGTAGCCGCTTTGCATTGCCACATCGTACTCTATACACCTCAGTTTTTCTGCCTCCACCCGCTCTATCCCTTTGACACACCGCTCACACCGTAACCCTTCAGAGTTATTCTTGACGAGCGCAGGATTGGACTCTGCTCTAAAAATACAAATTATATGCACCTGTCAAACAGGTGCAAAAGAAATTGGCCCTTTAGTGCCTTCACACCATAACCCTTCAGAGTTATTCTTGACGAGTGCAGGATTGGACCCTGCTCAAAAAATTCAAATCATATGCACCTGTCACACGCGTGCAAACAAAATTGGCCCTTTAGTGTTGGCGTTGCCTCCACACCATAACCCTTCAGAGTTATTTTTGAGTAGTGCAGGATTGGACCCTGCTCTAAAATTTGAAATTATATGCACCTGTCACTTGCGGGTGTGGAAAAATTGGGCCTTGGGTATTGGTGGTGCACTAAACCAAGAACATTACTTCAAGATAGAATAATCACCCACAAAGTTAGGCAGCCTAGGCAGTCTTCCAGAGATCCCAGATGCCCCACAAATGTAATCGATTTAGTCCCTTTGAGGACTGCCATATGTCATCCTCTGATTTAATGTACCCACTGCTGCCAAAATCCTCTCCCCTCCTCCTTCTCTTGTGTGATCTGTGGCCCCGCAGGAATGGTTTCTGCATAAAGAGGGCCTTGAGAGGAAAGTAAGTCCTCCTCTTCCTCCCGCTGTTTTACCTCAAGTGCCTTATCCATAATAAGAGTATGCTCCAGCAGGAACACAAGAGGGATAGTGTCACTGATGCATGCATTGTCACGGCTCACCATCCTTGTCGCCTCCCCAAATGGTGACAGTACAGTGCATGCTTCCTTTATCAGACGCTACTGCCGTGGGGAAAAAAAGCCAAGGTCCCCTGAGCCTGTTCTTGTGCCATACTCTGCAGCATTGCCAAAGTCGAGTTCCACCTGGTGGGCATGTCACAAATCAGGCAGTTTGTGGGCAGGTTGAATTCACGTTGAATTTCAGCCAGACGAACACTGGCTGGGTATGACTGCCTGAAATAGCTACAGACTATTCTAGTCTGCCTAAGAAGATCTTGCAGTCCTGGGTGCCTGGTTAAGAAACACTGCACCACCAAATTAAGGGCGTGTGCCAAGCATGGTAAATGTGTCAACTTTCCCAGTCAGAGGGCAGAGAGAAGGATGCTGCCATTGTTGCATACAACCATTCCTGGCTCAAACTGCCATGGTGGTAACCCCCTCTAGGCCTGCCCCTGCAGAGCTCAAAGAATCTTCATGGAGGAGGAAGAGGAGGGGATGGAGCAAACAGATCTCACATCATCACCACCAGCTTTTTGGAGGCGTGGTGGCTGAACAAGCTCCAGTACTGAGCCCCGCCCTGCATCATTCCCAGCTGCAAGCAGAGTTACCCAGTGTGCTGTGAAGGAAATTTAATGTCCCTGACCATGCACATTCTGCAAACTCATGGTAGGGGGCAGAGTCCACCAGATGGAAAGGCAGCAGTTGTAAAGCGAGCAATTTGGCCAAGCTGGCATTTAGATGCTGAGCATGTGGATGGCTGGGACTGTATTTTTTTTTGCTGCAGCAGCTGTGGCAGCAGAATTTGACTGGTCAAATCTACAGCTGGTGGGCTGCTGGCAGATTTTTCGGAAGGACCTGTGACACCCATTGCTATACCATCATCCCTCTCAGTGGAGGCTGTTAACATGGCATGACATACAGGTGAAACTCGAATAATTAGAATATCGTGCAAAAGTAATTGCAGTAAGTGCTGCAAAAGGGGCCCAAACCAAGTACTGAGTACATATGCATGCTCGTACTTTTCAGAGGTCCCATATTGTTCTATGTACAATCCTTGTTTTATTGATTGCATGTAATAATCTACTTTTTTGAGGTTGTGGATTTGGGGTTCTTGGGGTTTTCATGAGCTGTAAGCCATAATCATCACAATTATGACAAATCACGGCTTGAATTATCTTGCTTTGCATGTAATGAGTCTATCTCATATATTAGTTTTTTGACCTTTTAAGTTGCATTAGTGAAATAAATGAACTTTGCACGATATTCTAATTATTCGAGTTTCACCTGTATAGTGGGGGTAGAGATGACAGATGAGGAGCGAGGAGAAGTGTGGACCTTTTTCTGGTGCTCTTGCCAACGGGCTGCAAGGCAGGTGGTCATATGTATCTTCAAGCACGTGGTACGTGGTACCGTGAGAGGCTGATGTTTTTTCCATGCTTCATCCGCTTGAGACACATAGCAGATAGCAATGCTGCGGTCTGCTGCACATGTACTGAAAAACTCCCACACACCTGAGTTCCTGGAAGTGTGCTGGGAGACAACAGCGCACTGCGCCTGTGCAGCTCTGCCGTCTGATGCAATATGATGGCTGCTCTTATGGCTGCCCCTTGAGGACATCCTGCCTCATTGGAGTTGTGCCTCCTCCTTATTTTCCTCCTCTGTTCGATCAGGCACCCAAGTAGAGTCAGTGACCTCATCATCATAATCCCCTCTGTCCTCGTCGCTGGAGCCAACCTGGCAGTATGCTGCGACTGGTGGAACATGAGTGCCAATCTCTTGTCCATCATTGGCACCCCCTCTCTCTAGGCTCATGTTACTCCCTTCCTCAACCTTAGAGCCAACATCAAACCATTGTAATTGGTGCGCATTCTCCAGCAGCATGTGACTGACGTTATGTTTAAACAATTCAGCTGACTCCTCCATGCATGATGGTGGGGCTACGGCAGGAGTAGCTGTGGAGAAGGAGGCAGAATAGGCCGCTTTGGCAGCTGCGATGGAATGAGACCCAGTATGAGCCTGGGTGACAGAGGATGAGGATGGCTTAGTTATCCACTCCACCACCTCTTCTGTACGTTGTGGCAGAATAACACAGCGACAAGCGTGCCCTGTGAAGATGGAACATTTCCACGACCATGGCCACCACTTTTGCCTATATAGCTGCTTGCCCTCTTATAGCTGCATGGGAGCGTCTGCCTCTCCTTGTTGGCCTTTCAGACATGAATCTGCAAGGGAATTTGCATTATGCAAGGGAAGTTTCCCTTAAAGGAGAACTATGAGGTGAGTGAAAATCACTCATCCTCATAGTTCGAGCCAAGGTGTGACAATGAAACTGTCACACGTCGGCTCAATAGATCAGGAAGTGAGCGAACACATACCATCGCTCGCTCACTTCTCGATCATCTCCCTGCAGAGCCGTGGCTGACCCCCTCCCTGCTCTGATCCTCCAGCACTGACTGGAGGAACGGACGGGGAAGGGGGAGGGTACAGCTGGCTCTGCCTCTTGATAGGCAGAGCCAGCTGTCAATCACGCAGCTGGGTGGATCTTAACAGAAATGTCGGAATCCGTCCCGGCTGCGGCGGTCTCAGTATACTGCGAGCTGTAGCTCATGATATACTGAGCTTTGGGTCACGGGAGGATGCTAGTATATGTCCTCCCGTGACACTTAAGAGAACTATGGGGAAAAGCACTTACCCCATAGTTCTCCTTTAATGAATGAGGTGAGGCTCTGCTGACTTCTATCATCCAGGCATATGCAATATAAAATGCTATTTTTTTATTCTTCTTGCTCTTGTTTAGGTTATCCTTTGCAAAATTAATTTTCATTACATTCCTAAGCTAAGGGAAAATTCTCTTGTAAAGCGGAAAGCCTGTTTGCCGTTAGTAAATCAACCCCTATACCTCTCCTGGGAAGAAGTCAGTATGGCGGTCCAAAACCAGTAGTTATATTTTATGGCAGCAGTCACAGCATTTTGGATGTTATCAAATGTCTTCCTTAGATGACCCTAGTCAGATTTTGGCGTCTTCTTTCAGTTATTCACAAGATGAATGCTCCTCTCCTCCTCTGGTGCTCCTCTACATATACAACACCCAATTCTTAACTTGTACAATAAGACTTGGCTGTGCATAAAATAAAAAATAAAAATGAGGGCTTCAAAAAATATACCCCTTTATTGGATAATAAACATCTTACCAACCCTGTTGACTTAGACGGATCAGACTTATCAAAAAAGCTAGAATTACCGGTTTATCACAGTTATAAATCATTGGTGTACTTAAATCTTTCCAGCAACTCCAGACTGAATTCTCTCTTCCAAGATCTGTGCTTTAGGTATTTCCAACTTTAGCAAACCCTCACTATTCAACAAAAACTAATTGATACACAAAATGCAAAATGGACCTAATCGCATTTATAGCTCAGCCTCAATGTATGAAGGGCTTCATATCCAAAATATATATTACTCTACTTGCTTGGTCTAACAGTGCCGCATTACTATAATGTAAAGAAAAATGGATACAGGATCTGGGTCATATTAGCTGGAAGCACTGCAAATTGTACCCTTTGAGTCCCTGAGACTCACCCAGCTATTGCTAATACATAGGGTGTATTAGACCCCTAAATCTATATCTTTTTTTTCCCACGGACACTACCCACTGTGTAGGGGGATCATATTCATGTTTTGTAAAAGCCACACATTGGTTTACTACTGGCAGGAAGTGTTCGATAATATTAACCATGAATTCCACCTTCAATGCTTCTCTGAACTAAAAACGTGAATCCTGGAAATGTTGGAATTTCCTATTAAAGAACCAGAAATTGCCTATCCTCCCAACCTCCCACAACGCAACTTTGGATAGAAAAGATAAATACTATCCTTTACATAAAAAGCGCAACCTTTACCCACAGGGGTAGCTCTTGAAAATTTGAAAAATTTGGAATGGGTGGCTTAGTGACCAAACTCTCACATCCACTGCGTTAGTCATGCATAGAAAATTTGGAGGACATGGTTTATAGAACTGTGGGGGATCTGTTCCCCTTGTAAACGAGAGCTAGTTGTATAGGTGATAAATATGAGAACATAGACAACTGTTGTTTGATCACTGCAAAAGCTATTTTTTTTAATATTTCATGTTCACAACTGTAATATGTACTTTTGCATCATAACGTTAGATATGAACATATTGTAACTCCTGCTTTTCATCTGGGTGTTCACATGAGGAAATTCAGTGACTGCAATATATGGAACATTTTTCTCTGTTAGCCACTTTTTACTATTCTTTAAGGTTTTTGGTTCTCTTCTCTCTCTGCAAGACAAACACTTTGAAAAACATGAAGAATTTTGTTATTTTTAAATAAAAACTTCTTGATTTTGACAGAAAAAAAAAAGTTTCCTTATGATTTCTTTTCTTGTTCTACATATAAAGTTGTTAAAGTATTCCCTTGTATGAATACACTGATGGGATTTAGTTGATATTTATAGACACCTACTCATCAGCGGAGACTGGTATTATGTATATATATTAGGTAATGTGCCTTGTCTTATCATTTCAGGGAAAATTAACAAACAACTGTATCTTGCACAAGATTGTGGTAGGTAATGCATTGTGGTAGGTAAAGCAGAAATATTCCTTGTACAACATATTTTATTCATTTTGCACTTTTATTAAAACTGAACTCCAGACAGATATTAAAAACACTTTATGTTGCACATCAGACAAATCACTACAGGTAGCGAAAAAAAACTAAACAAATAAAAGCAAAACTGTTCATTCAGTTTTACATTCCTTTAAAAATAATTTCATGAATTTTAACATAGAGCTAGCATAAGCAGCATAAGCCCTGCACAGGAATCTGTCTTGATATCAGCCTACTGTAATCCTCTACACCACAATACTTTAGGGGTATGTTTAGGAAATATGCAGACAGGATGAGAGGTTGCTGGCAGTGAGGTGACGCCACTGTATGCTGTAAATATTGTCTAAATGCATTGTGCATGTGTATTCTTATTTGAGTTTTGGTATGTTTTTTTTTTTTTTTTGCCAGATCAGTGCAGTAATCTGGTGTGAAGCTTTGCCTTTGTGCAGGAGCTTCCAGTAATAAAGACTGGTCACTGCACCCCTCTCTTTTCTTGTGCAGGTTGACTAGTCTTGTGTCTGCTCCTTGTAGTTTTTTTTCAGGCAGCCTAAAGTGGGTGGAGCTGCTGGGTGGCTCTTGCAGTTATGCTCTCTGCACAGGCTATGTGCAGCACAGTAATAATTATATAAATAATAAAATAATAATATAAAAAATGAAAAAAATAATATTACTTCTATATGAACAACTGGTTTTGCAAAGACATTAGGTATGATGTCGCTTCCCATTAACCTGAACTTTGCATGTGATATTTGGAACACAGCCAGCCATTGCTTTGCAATGCTTTTCTTAGTGGGTCCCCCCTCTGGGAGATTGTCTAGAGTATGTCTAAGCACAATACATATTTTTGTGCCTGAAGTTCTTAGAAAGTGGTGTTACACTCCTGACTGCACCATCTTAAATCACAAAAGTAGGTGGACTGTATTACCATTATTTTTTTTACAAGACAGTTCACATGTCTATTTTTAAGGGTCCATTTACGCCACATACGTGGGGGCTGCGCTGGCCATAGTTTTCAGCCCAGCCCCAACACAAGACAAGGCAATATGCATTGCATTGCGGTGGAAATGCAGTGGTGTGCGTAAAAAAAACCCCCAAGTATATGCCTTGTTTTTTTTAGCGCAGTGGGATACAATGCAGAACAACCGCCTCTCACCCCACTGTGCCCACAGAACTGAATTAAATTTCAAAATGAAAAAAGTACACAGTGCCATGTGCCAGGATCGGCACATCGGCAGTTTGTCAGGCTCCTCTAGCAGCCACTGGAGTGAATAGACCTTTACTGTGTAATTTTATCTAAGTTTAGCTTTAAAAATGTTCCATGCAATAAGTTCTTCCATACTAATGTCAATGTATAAAATGCTAAGTTGACGTTTACAGTATGCAGATTTATCAGTCTAGCAAATTAGTATTTTCTTAAAATACCCAATGAAGTTGAAAATGTCTTTATTTGCATAGCAATAAGGAAAAGCTGGGCAAGTGAACACCCAACATTGCTTGCATTTAAAGGATAGGACATCTCCAATACATCCAAATAAAAATCATTATATTCTTGCATTAGCTGTTTATAAGCAAGGGTATGTCTGACTGAGAAGAAAGGGTGGTAAGACATTTATAAGTCCTCAGACCCACTGGAAACCCACAAAGATCTTCTGTGCAACTGTCTTGTATTGCCACCTCCTATTTCATTAATCTGTCTTGTACTGCCACCCTCCCCTACCTAGTTGACTGTCTTGTATTGCCACCCCTACTCAATCAGCTTTCTTGTATTGCCACCCCTCCCCTACCCAAGCAGCGGTCTTGTATTGCCACGGTGCCACCCCTCCCCAACCCAGTTAAATGTCTTTAATCCCCCCTCCCTCCCCTACACAGTCAACTGTCTTGTATTGCCACCCTCCTTCCTCCTCAGTAAACTGTCTTTTATTGCCACACCCCTGCCCTACCCTACCCTGCCATCTGTCTTGTGCTGCCACCCCCTTCCTTACCAAGCAAACTGTCTTGTATTGTTTCAATATGATATACAGGCTTTTAAATTACGACCCAATAAATGTGATACACACATACATAGGGCTGCTCAGCAAATGTAAAAATTCCATACGTCGTCATTTTAAGCAATGATATTAGTAAGTAATATAAAGTAAAAAGTACTAAGCTACTGTGGGAATATTACGCTGTAATGTTCCCTATTATAATCTATTTCTCTGATTAAATTATTACAAACAGAGCCTCTGTTCTATCAAAGTTTGAGACCACATTACAATGTGTGACGGGTGACGTGGTCACACATTTAAAACGTAATCTCCCCCAGTTTTTTGGTGGTGGAATAGGTGAAGAATTCCAACGCTTTGTGATCTGTTTCAGGGCAGATCGGCATCGCAAATCATATGTGCAGGAGAACCGATCTGCCCTGGAACAGCTGTTCGGTCCTGAAATGCCACTTCTATCCGACTTTGTGAGTACGTTGGAATGTGAGATCGCAGTCGGACAGAAGTGACATTTCAGGACCGATCAGCTGTTTCAGGGCAGATCTGTTCTCCTGCACATACGATCTGCGATGCTGATCTGCCCTGGAACAGCTGGGAAAGCTCTGGAATGCTTCACCTATTGGCGGTCACACATTCCACCGCAAAAAATGGGCGGGATTACGTTAAAACGTGTTACCATATCACCAGTCACACTTTCTAACGTAGTCTCAAACTTTGATAGAACACCGCCATCAGGGGGGTATGGCCGGTACCCATGTGAGGGGTCTGGGCAACCTGGGGGGCCTCTTACATGGGTATTAACTGTACCGGGGCGGCATGGCAGTGGTGACAGGGGAGGGGGTGGAGGAGGCCGGGCCTCAGCAGCAGCAGGTAAGAAGAGTTGGGAGGATGTACAGGGAAAGGGACACCAACGACAAGACCAGCCCACCTGGGACCCTACAGAGCCCACCATAGAGAGTCTCAGGTGGGCTATGCAGGATCTATGGTGTGCTCTGCAGGATCTATGGTGTGCTCTGCAGGGTCTCAGGTAAGTCCAGTACGCTACTGCAACATTAGATTAATTAGATTAGAGACCACCTGGGTCGGGGCCAGTGTGATCCACTCCCGCGCCCCCCCCTCATCTTGGGAGGGGGGCCCAAGATAAAATCTTGCACCAGGGCCATTTGGTTATTAGGTCCGCCACTGGTTGTATGTTCTTCCTGTGTTTGTGTGGCTGTACTCCAGTGTCCTTCTGCACTGGAAAAGCTGATAAGTTAATTGGCTCCTGTCAAGACTGGCCTGTGTATGTATGCATGTGAGATAGGGACTTATTGATTTTGATTGTAAGTTTCCTAAGGACAGAGACTGAATTCATAGTAGGTAAAGCACTGCATAACTTGATGGTGCTCTAAAAATGCCTGTAATAAATACAGGCTCAAGTTGGCTCATATAGAGATTTCTCAACAAAATAGAAGGGAATTGAAAAATTAACCTTTGCAGTGGGGCTTAACTGCTTGTTAAGATACACTCACATGATCATTGGTCTTGCGGTGGTGACTGCTCACCTCTCTCCCTCTTAACTTTGGCCGTGGAATGACCCTCGGTGTGCTCACAGTTGCATTAGACACGGTACGTAGACCGCTGGAACCCAGGGGAGAGGAGGCAGCAAGGACTGGTCTAGCAGCTAAGCAGGACCGAGGATAGGTGAGTGTATTTTCTTTATTTTAGCCCCTAGATCAAAACGAGCAGTTTCTTCTTTCACTGTCAGATGAGGTCATGGTGGCTCTAAAGTCTACATTAGCTAGAATGCACTACTTTACACTTACTAATAGACCATGTCATGTTCTTTCCACTTTCTTTGTCTTATCTGTAGGCCAGCATGTTGATAGTAAAACAGAAGAATGAGACAATAATAACAGAATTTCTACTGATTGGATTCTCCATCCTGAAAAAGACACGGATTTGCCTTTTCATAATAATTTTCCTTACGTATGTTGCTACAATGACAGCCAATGTCTTTATAATTATCATTGTAAAAACCGAAAGACGCCTTCACAAGCCTATGTACTTCTTCATAGGTGGATTGTCATTCCTTGAGATTTGGTACCCTTCAGTCACTGTCCCCAGGCTCTTGTGGTCTCTTGGAACTACAAAGGAAGCAATATCCCCAGCTGGATGCATGGCACAATTTTATTTTCATTTTTCTCTTGGAACAACAGAAATCTTCCTCCTGACTGTGATGGCCTATGATCGTTATGTAGCCATCTGCAACCCCCTTCGCTATTTAGCCATCATTAATCCTAAAGTTTGCACCATACTCATACTTGGGTCCTGGGCTTGTGGCTTTGTTTCAATGATTCCTCCTTGTGTACAGATTGCAAACCTCTCATTTTGTAGAGAAAACCAAATTGATCATTACTACTGTGATTTGGCTCCAATACTCAAACTGTCTTGTTCTGAGACATCAAGCATTGAAAAGTTGTTTTTCTGCCTTAGCTTGTTCATAATATTAGGCTGTTTTGTCTTAATTATTATCTCTTATATTTGTATAATAAGGAAAACTCTTGCGGTTCCCACTGCGATAGGAAGACGCAAGACTTTTTCTACTTTTGCTTCACACCTTACTGTTGTATGCCTTTTTTACGGGCCTATCATCTTTATGTTTGTCAGGCCCAGCACTGGTGGCCTCATGCACCTGAATAAAATTGTTTCCATCATCCCGTCTGTAGTAACTCCTCTTTTAAATCCTATTATCTACACTCTGCGTAATCAGGAGGTACAGGGTGCCATGAAGAAAACAATTCAAAGGTTTGTTTTCCCTGTAGAAGACAGTATCAGTAGTAAAACTGCATAAAAGACCTACAAAACTTGAATCTTATTTATAGCACCTTAAATCATTACAGAGATAAAAATATACTTAGTACAGTGTTCACAGAATTCTATTTTGTACTATGCTAATACTACACATCCCATAAATTGATCTGTGAAGTATTATTCCTGGTGATATGAAGCTGATTTATCAAGCTTACTCTGTCAGCAAGGGTGAATGTTCACTCTCCCTTAACATGAAAATGATGCTCACTTGCTCATACATGCTCCGTGCATGCCCATGGGTGTAGGCATGGATGAAAAAGGCTACAATGGGCGGTGTTGTTTCGAAAAGCAACATTTTTTAATAGCAATTTATTAAAAATTGGTATATGTTGGAACAAGTTTTAAAATATCAGATAAAAAAATGCAAAAATGTAATTCTGTGATTGTGAATGAAATAAAATATAGCTTAGTGAATAGACCCCTTAGAGTCTACTAACAAAATAAAAAATTCATCATACAATACTTGGTGACTCACTTCAATGATTTCAGTCATGCAAGAGTTTTCAAAATCATGTGCACATTCGAAATCTTTGCAACCCTGTAATTAATTTAAGGAAAAGTAGACTTTCACACAAAATAATCCTAACTGCCCCCTTACCCTATCTACATACTAGGGAACCCCCCTTTTATTTAACTCAAATAAACCAGCAGCTTGGTACAGAAGCTTTGGCCTTCAAGGCCTACAATATGCCCAGTTTTTCTTCATTAGATCTTAATGGAAGACCTGTCTACTTGAAAGCATGCAGGTTGAGAACTTTATATTAGGTTCTGTGGAGAAAGGGCAGTGCATGTGCAGTACCACTTGGCACTGCTTGTTGGGAAGAGGTATAAGAGGCTTATTAAGTTCACCCTGACTAGCCTAGGCTGCAGCTCCAGGACACAGTTCTGAGGTAAGGGGGGTATAATGTGTGTGTGTGTGTGTGTGTTCATTTGCATAGAAGTATTCCTATTTCTAGTATGTTATCCTTAAGAAATGCCAATAATAACTAGCATCCCCTCTGTCATACCCTTTGCATTCTTTGCTGGAACATACCGCCCCATTCATACCTCTTCTCAACTCTATTGTACATACTGCCTGCCCTCCTAACCACCACAACTTCTCTCCTGTGACACCAGACCCTCCACACTCCTCTGCTGTACATTCTGCCAAATGTCCAAGCCTCTGCACATCTCTCTTGCACATACTGTCTGCCTTATTATAGTCCACCACATCTCTCCTGCACATACTGTCTGCCCTCATACACTCTGCCACTCCTTTCCTGCATATACAGTCTACCGTCATATACTCCACCACCTCTCTATTGCACATACTGTCTGCCCTCATACACTCCACCACCTCTCTACTGCACATATTGTCTACCCTCATACACTCCACCACCTCTCTACTGCACATATTGTCTACCCTCATACACTCCACCACCTCTCTTCTGCACATATTGTCTACCCTCATACACTCCACCATCCCTCTCTTGCACATACTGTCTGCCTTATTACATTCCACCACATCTCTTATGCACATACTGTCTGTCCTTATACACTCCACCACCCCTCTCCTGCACATACTGTCTGCCCTCATATACTCCGCTACCTCTCTCCTGCACATACTATCTGCCTAAGTACACTCTGCCACCCCTCTCCTGCACATATTGTCTGCCCTCATACACTCCACCAACCCTCTCCTGCACATACTGTCTGCCCTCATACACTCCACCAACCCTTCTCCTGCACATACTGTCTGCCCTCATATACTCTGCTACCCTCCTCCTGCACATACTGCCTGATTAAACTTTTCTGCTACTTTTGCTAGCATATGGTAAACCAATTTTCTGATGAAAGGGGAGTTTCCCTTTTATAACTAAAAATAATTTGCTGAAATCAATCAAGCAGAGAAAAATAAAAGCCAGCATTGCTAAACCTATATTTAGATTGTAGTGAACAAAGAAACAGTGAAAACATATAGGCAACAGAAAGTTTTTTGGGGAATTGCTAAAATATAAGACCTACCCCGAAAATAAGACCTAGTTGTGACTATTCCCAGGGCCGGCGGTGGCATAAGGAGGAACTTGAAGCGCTAGAGGAATCGAGGCGGCAGTGGAGGGAGCAGAGCCGCATAAGCCCATGCTTTCTCTATAGCGCCGGCTCCTATCACAGACGGAGTGATACCAAATGCACCCCGCCTGTAAAGGAATTGATAGTGAAAGCGCACTTCGCTCATTCTGGCCAGAGATTGGTTACCAAATTGCTCTTGGAAAGGTACAACACCCCTGATTGCCATGATAACTATATTCTTAACTTTGCCACTCACTCCTGTCTTGTAAGTCTTCTACCAGTAATAAGTGTGGATTGTTGTACATTAAAAAAATAAGACCTACCTCGAAAATAAGAACTTGTGCATTTTTTCGGCTGCCCTCGGCAGCTTTGTGAATAGACCCCAGTGTCTTATTTTCGGGGAAACACGGTGCATATTTATTATGTGAAGTTATATCTAACCTGCTAAAGCACTGCTGGTATGTAAAGGCTTTGAATATAACTGAGAAAACAACTATAGACATTAAATTACAGGGTAAAAATATAATAAATGCAATTTTGTACATTATTGTTTTTTGTTTGTATCTAACGCTCATTAGATTAATTATAGATATAATATTACCAGCTGTGCTATTCCCTCATTGAGATTCTGTAACTATTCCCTAGATCATTTCAGTGTGAGCTGTTTAAGCAATCTGGGAATAAGTTCAATTATTTTATAGAATATTTATAGCAGGCTTAAACCTTCTGTCTCTTTCTTTACGGCTTTTTGCCAAAGACATACATCTATATTATCACACTGGACTGAACAATCATACAGAAGAAAATCACCAATGAATGTAATGTTCAATATATAGGTTTATTGAAAAAGCTTTCATATAGGCAAAACCCAGTTACTTTTCACACATCAAACATGTTGCTTTATGCAGCTAACAGCTTTGCATTTACCAGGAATTATTGAATTTTGCACGTATCACTTCTCACTCTTGCTTTCAGCTATCACAGACTCAGGAAATAAACATGTGTCATGTATAACTGAGCAATACTTCCTATACGCCATATCAAGACATCATCAGTTTAAGCATTTCTCATGTTAAAATGTGTCAATATTCTATTTATCTATCACTCTATCTTTAACGACAAACTGTATGACTATGCTATACTACATTGTATTGTATGACTATGCTATACTATATGAATAATATATACACTATAAATATAATGCATTTTCCTAAAAAGCTACAAGAGTTTAAAGAGATGTCATCTATCTATCTATCTATCTATCTATCTATCTATCTATCTATCTATCTATCTATCTATCTCTCTATCGATCTACCTATCTATGTACTGTATCTATCTATGTAACTATCTATTATTTGTCTGTCTATCTATCTATCTATCTATCTATCTATCTATCTATCTATGTACTGTATCTATCTATGTATCTATCTATTATGTGTCTATCTATCTATCTATCTATCTATCTATCTATCTATCTATCTATCTATCTACTGTGTCTATCTATGTATCTATCTATTATTTGTCTATCTATCTATCTATCTATCTATCTATCTATCTATCTATCTATCTTATCTATCTATGTATCTATCTATTATGTGTCTATCTATCTATCTATCTATCTATCTATCTATCTATCTATCTATCTATCTATCTATCTA